TTTTTATTTTTAGGGACCACCATTTTTATTTTTAGGTATCAACTATCTTCCTTACTCTCTGTGGTAATATAAAAGTGTTTGTCTTTTTGTCAGTTGTACAGATCATTGATTTCTGTGCTCTAACTTCTCAGTAATACTGTAATATGAAATACATGCTCTGTTAATCTGAGAAAGTCATCTGGAATAAGCTACAGGCTTTCAGATGTATTTTCATGAAAAGCAACCTGATATTCTCAAAAAAAAAAAAAAAGAAAGAAAAAATTCAAGAAAAAATCAAGGAGTAAAGGCCTTGATTTATTAACTGAAATTGTGTATCTATTCACAGCCAACTTTGTCAGACTCATTTAATTTCATTCACACTTAGCTGTGAATGTTGGAATTTTGTGGCCTTTGTTTTTCAGTGTCATTTTTCTGCATATTTTCCCCAAAACTGTCTTCTGCATTTATGTGGTAGCACTGCTGACAACCATTGCAAATAGCACCATAGCTACAGGAAAAGTATCTTGAAATATGAAAATCTGTATTAGAAAAGCTGCAGGATGTTTATTTTGACACATTGTTCAATCAGCCATGCTACCTACTAGCCAGAAAAACATCAAGTTTTTAGCCACTATCTCCTATGTGATACCCAGCCATTTTCCACAAAGGTGAAGATTTTAAACTGCTATTATTTGAAGCTTTTTAGGTTACAGTGAAAACACAATAAGGAGCTGCTATAAAGACATCTTTACAAGGAGTTTTACCCATAAGAGAAGATTGCCCTTTTCCAGCATGTAGAAGATTGCCCTTTTCCTTTGATTTCTTTTGGAAATATGAAATATAAAATATTTAGAAATTTGGTTCAAAGAACACACAGTCATGTTCTCTTTTTGCTATGGGGACTAAACTGAGGTGAACTGAATATAATCCCTTGCTCTGGAAACAACTGTGCCCTTCTTGGTACTTACTGAGGGACACATCAGAGCTCCAGTGCACCCTGCAGTACAGAAACCAGCTATGGGTTGCCAGACCCCCATGCCACGTCCCAAAACACAACCCTGGGCTGCAGCTCACAACAGCACAGCTCTCCTCTCTGCATAGAAACTGTGAGTTTGTGGTTTTACTGTGCTGCCAGAGGCACTGGGAAGAGGCAAAACAAGCGAATGAAGACTGGCGCAAATGCAGGCAGTAACACTAGAAAAAACCAGAAATACTATGTCCTTTAAGCCTTTCCCAATTACAAACCTCTAAAATGTTCTGCTTAGGCCTTAAATAACTACTGATATTATCTCTTACTGCTTTCAAAACAAATGGAGACTCAGAATGGCAATGTTTCCTTTTTATAAAACAGATGACTTGTGCAGCCCCAAGAGCCTGTGCAGGCCCTCACAAATACATGCACTAGGAAAACACGTGAACTAGGAAAGCATTAACCAGCAATGAGAGAAATACAGACCGTAGTACATACATATAGTTTAACTGATGAGGTAGTAAGACTTATTTTCAGCATCAAAGTAATATTTGCGCAGACTTAGATTAGGCACCCCGTACTGTGACAGTGTTCAGAAGGGAGAACTGTCCTAGCTGCTTTCGAGTACATGTTGGTGTTTGTATGCAGGCAACTGGGGAATTTTATTGTCCAAAATATAGATATTTAGAAATATTTACTGTCTACTTTATGAACTCCTAAATAATTTTGGAGGTCTGGATAAGTCTCTCAGAGGCCTATCTGACAGAGGAAATTAACAGTATGTGTCTCCATTGTAGAGCCCTGCAGAGATCAAGCTAGTGTTTCCTGAGCTGCTCATGGAAATGGAAGCAATAGGTTGTACTACCACATCTATATGACAGTATGTCTTGAGCCTTGCTAAGTATGATTTTCTGGACAAGGTGATGCACTTTGGCAGACCAGCTGCTATACCAGCACTTAAGCCTGTGTCCCCACTGGCCCTGCACCTTCCCAGTAGTACCAGTTCTTTCAGAGCAATCTCTGGGCCTTAGGCACCACTGCTGTGTGGTGCAGGGAAAGACAAATTTGCCTAAGTCATGAAGGTGCTAGTGGAAATTAGAAAAAGAAAAAAAAAAAAAGACATTTGCTCAGTAACTCTGCTTCTAACATTTTTTTATTGAAAAGAATATTTAGATTTTGTGTATCTAAGCATAAACATGTTTTCTGAACCAGAATTTGACTACAAATAGTTCTAAATGACTTTCAGTATTTAATAGTCTTTCTTCTGTATAAGCTTTGTAAATAGGGATTATGCTGCTACTTAGCAACACTTAAATGTTGAAAAAATAGTGTTAAAATGCTTATTAGAAAACTTGCAACTTAAATATGTGTCCTCATTATGATGATCTCATGAAACAGTCAGCATTTTGAGACTTCTCAACATAATGACATTTATTTTGAGGCAAAGACCATGTGCTGTGCATGTTAGATGGTAGGAAACATGATAAAAAGAAAGGTCATGGCAACAACAATTTCATGAAAAATGAATAACTTGGTTATTTTCATGGTGTGGATCAATAATGCTCTGCATCTACTGAAGCACATTGCCTGGAGGCATTCAGATAATCAATGGCATAAAACAGAGACTGCCTGGACCCAGGCTTGCAGCCTCTCTGATCTTTCTTGGGAGGACCCTTGATGCCTCTAATTTGTGTCAACTCCATATCAAAGAAATTCCAAAGAGCCTTGGTCATAAAGCATACTTCAGTGGTAACCATTAGAAGTCTACTTACATATGTTCCTTATGGAACTGTGTTTAAGTACTTTCCTTCCAATGCCTGGGAATTCCTAGAAAGGCATAAATGCTATCTGGTACTAGCATAACAGTCAGCACATCTTAGAAAATGAAGGCTGGTTAGAAGGGGAAATCTTCTAACTTTCTCTTCACTGCAAGCTGAAATAGCTCAAAGACAAGAATTTAAATTAACAGGGCATGTAAATAAACTCTTCTGCACCACCCAAGAATTCTCTTTAATGATGTGCTGGATGCTGACATTTTTAATTTAATAGAGCAGCCACTGGAAAAAACTAGTTCTGAATGATATCGGGAAAAGACAGTTGAAGACATGATTTTGTTCAGTAATTTCTCTGTTCATTTGTAGTGGAAAAAGGGAGCCGGCATCTTCTTGCTGCCAAAAATTCTCAAGTCAAGGACACTTGCTTCATTCTGTCTGTGGAGCCGTGTTTCCCATCTAGGCTTTGCGAGCAAGAAAATAATTCCCAGAGGTAGTCTTACTACTAATGCATTTGCTGTAACAGCATTTACTCATTTCTTAACAAGTTTTTAGCTTACCACACTTCGAATATTCATATACATGCACACAAGCATGCATGCACAACACACACACATGCTTGCAGACACACAGCTAACACTGCTTTTCTATCTTCCTTGTAGCTTTCTCCAAAAATCTTCTTTTTTCCTTTTAGCAGCTGACTTTCTCAAAAAAGACTTTTTTTTTTTTTTTTCTTTTACCAATTGACTTTCATAACACAAGAGATAGTGTGTAATCCTTTGAATGAACTAGGAAAGCATTAACCAGCAATGAGAGAAATACGGACTATAGCACATACACATAGTTTGATGAGGTGGTAAAACTTGTTTTCAGCATCAAGATCATTGATTTTCTGTAGCAGCTGAAGACAGGATAAAATTATCGCACTTAGATCCTTGTTGATCCTTCTATGTTAGCTAAATCCACAAAATAAATATATGTGTAAAATTAATCAGCTTATTCTGGGTCAGCTCTAATTCCCAAGGTCAAGTAACCCTTTGAACATTCTCTAAGTACATAATCTTAGCACAATCCATCAAAGAGACTCTCACACTCTTTTTGTCTATTGGCTCTTATAAAACACTAATGTTTAGGAGCTTAAGTGGAGTCAGCTTTAACAGACAGAGCAATTCTTCTAAAGTGCTCAACCTCTCCTCAAACTGGAAACCGTCTAAGTGTGGGTTTGCAAAATTATATTTCTACCTTTACAAGTGACCTGGAAATTACTATTCTTTACTAGTTGAAATACTGCGGCTTGTAACTGTCTTCTAGAAAGCACTGCAAGGGATGCAAGGTAATGGTTTTGAGCACGAAGCTTCTTAGGCTAAAAAACTGTGTTTCCACAGCTTGTATCAGAAATTCACAAGTCTCTGAGATGCCACTTATTGATGGGTACCACAAGCTGGAAATTTTGTTCATGATATCTGGAAAAGAAACAATCCCTGCACGCATATTTTAAGATTTGAGATCAGAGACACTGAACCCCCAGTGACTTCTAGCTATTTCTGCCATGCTCCCAGGACTTTTGATCTCTCTTCTCTCAAAAGAGATACGATTCCTGAAGGCTAATATGAGGTGGAACATCACTACCTTGTTGTCTTTCGTTCTAAAGATAAAGTGTTAAAAGTTAGAGATATTCTTAATACACGCCAAGTAAGAAAGATATGTATTAAAAAAATTTAGAATTCTTTCTTTTTTTCAGAATTATGGTTTTATCCAAATCCTTGCCCTTTCACAAACCATACATGAGCAAGACCACAGATGTATAGAAAATCACACTGGAAGTAACACAAGTATTTTTTTTTTAAATTCTTTTGTTGCTCTTTTTATTTCTTTTAAAAAAAACACAAAGTAGTCTATCATAGTAATGACATGACATACCAATCACTTTTAACCAAAAATATTCAAAACCCTCAGGGGGCAGATTTTACATAAAACGTTTGTGAGTACCTCAGGCTGTGGGTGTAGCCTGTGGGTGTATTTTGAAAATCCATGTCAGCAAAAATTTAACACGTTCTTTTTAGTTCTCTAGATACTTTTTTAGCTAATTATGTGTCCTGGGTTCAGCAGTAGCAGTACACAGTACACTAAAAGAGTTATCACAGCAGTGAATATGAACCTGTTTGTACAGAAAAACAAATTTTCCGATCTCGCTCCCTTCCTGATACACTCACACATATACACTCACTCTCACACCACTCAAAAGCAGGCACCATAAAATTCATATAAATGTTCTTTACCTGGTCGCATCTCATCAGCCCTAAATATCTGAGAGACTTGCTGCTTTGTGCAATTTGGGTGGCTCCATGGTCTGTGATTTCTTTGCACCATCCAACATCCACTGTCTCTATCGTCATGCTGTATCGCCCAATGGCTATAAGAGCTGTAAAGATATTAAAAACATGAACTATGTAACTCGTGAAGATGGTCAGCTCAGTTCTATGTATACATTAAACTATGTTTAAATTAAAGTTTGAGAAGCAGTTGTCATGTACCTTGTAAAAGATCTTGCATTTATAACTAGGTAATAACTGTCTCTTCAAAGTTTTGCTGATTTTTTTTCAGCAAAATAGTACTGCACAGAGAATAACAGGACATATTCTGTGTCAATAAAACACATGGTTTTAGAAAGCCCTACAGGTATCTTATGTCACGCATTTTATAACTATATTCAAAAACAACATTTGTTTCCCACTGTTCATATTGATGAGCTAATAACAACATGTCTCACTTTAACATTTTCCTCAGTGTTTTCCAATAATAATAATAATAATAATAATAATAAAAAGGCAAGGCTAGGAGGAATTCAAACAAAAACTTGAACTCTTATAAAAGGAAATGAAAGTTTGATCTGGAAATTCTGAAAGGACTGAAAAATGGTAGGTAGAAGAAACCACAAAGCACCCAAATGGCTTTGACATGAGATGGCTAGTCCAGAATGGCAGAAAAGATACAAATCACTAGCACCCTTGTCACCATGAATTAGAGCACTTTTCAGGAAATATAGGCTTAAAAACTGTTAAGTCAGGATTTATTAACAGAAATGAGCAGCGTAAGAAAAAGTCTGAGGTTATGATGCCGAAGTCAGGCATCTGCATAGAGTCAAGGATTTTTACAGTTTCAACTCTAGTTATAATGTAGTTGCTGAAAAGATGAATGAGTGACTCAGACCAAATAATGCGAGTATCTTTAAAGGGTTGATTTTGCAGCAGCTGTGGGCCAGTTCTGCTCCTGCTACAGAACGTTCTGTCAGAAAAAGAAGAAGAAAAAGAAAAAAAAAAGAAAAAGCAGTTATGAAGACCTGGTAGCTCCTGATAAGCCAAATGCCAACCTTAGATAATCAGGGTGTAAGTGAGATCTAGAAGCAGAGAGGAAGAACTCACCTGGCCTTCCAGTGGTTCTGCAAAGACCTGTACTGATGGTAGCCAGCAGTAAGAATAATTTGATAATTTATAAATATTTAGGTGGTTTGATCTGCAAACAAAACTGGGCAAAACAGGCCAAACACATTCTCAGAATCTGTGGAAGGTGCAGTAGTAAATTTTTATTTTTATTTTTTAATTGCAGCAGTTCACCAAAAAGGACGAGTATTGAATTTTGTAACTGACATAATGAACTTATGATACAATCATCTATATAGTAGCATCATGGCTTCATTCAGTTTTGTAGGACAATACCAACTTTCTGCTTTCTCCAAGTACATCCCTCGAAAACAAGTCTGAATTTTGCAAATACATAGATATATGAATAGCAGAACATAAACTTTTAACTTTTTTTCATAGCGTCCTTTTAAAATATTACTTTAATAACAATTTTAGAAAGAGAGACAGAAACTTTCTGCATGTATTAAACAATAACAAAGGCTATAGCAATTATAAATTATTGTCACTCCACACAAAATGTTATAGATGTGAATTAGTGCAGGCATACTGAAAGCCTGCCAATACATTAGAATATTGTTGGTGAAACAAAATTTCAAATGTTTTTATGGGAATGACATAAAAGATCAAGAAATCACACTGGTGAAAAATTCTTTTTAGTAAAAGCATCAAAGGAAATTAGAGATGTAAGTTTTGGGAGTTCTGTCTCAAGACTTAGATTAGAGAGAAAGCTGGGGATGATGCTGCTGAAGACTAAAAAAGGCTATTATACGTGTGCAGAATGCCCCAGACTGAAGTATAACCTGCGCACCATTAGTCCAAGGAGCTGCTCTGAATGTGGCAAAAAGAAGCCTTAAAGCATGAAATTTCATGCAGGCATCTTCACGTATACATATGAAACAAACTGGACGAATATAAAATTTTGTCTTATACAACTTTTTCAAACAGAATATTCAAAGAAAAGCACTATATAAGAAAACATAATTTAAAACATGTTAATTCATTGTTCAATACATTTCTCTGTATTCTGGAATTTTTTTGGGGGGGTAAAGCATTTAATTCTACTGTAGGACTGTAGTGAAAACCCAGTTAAGTTTCATGGGTTTTTTTTATACAAAGATAAAAATATTTTTACTTTTTACATAATAGAAAAGGGACTTAGTAATTATTGAAATAATTACAAAAGAATTATAAACTAACAAATCATGAAGGCTCTTTGCAAAACTGGCCTTCACTGCTTGTCTTCTGAACATCTGTACTTTAACCAGCCAATTATTATTGGTGTTACTTCTTCAAAGTATTAAAAGAATGAAAAAGGGATTTGGAAAGCATGCGTTAGTTTTCATAAATCAAACTATACACGTATGGTTTTTGGAATGCATTCTGTCAATTATCAGGAAAGACAGAACACAACTTTAACAATACCATGAGACAAAAACCATGTTTTGGAACAAGTAACAATACGTACAAGAATAATACAAAGTGGAATAAAAAACCCCTCACGACGTTATGTATCAATGTGATACATAAAAAATGGGATAGAAATCAAAGAATTCCAACTGTGACATTTGGGGAGCAGGGTTTTCTAAGTGAATACGTTTTGCAGTTCAGAAGTTTCCAACTGATTTTCAAACAACTGTCCATCTGTTTTCTTCACCTGTGTTCCACTTTGAGTATATGCAAATAATTGAATGAAATTTCATGCTTTAATTAATCTGTGTGTCTAATTTGTGCATCAGGTATATCTTAGGCTAACCACGGTTAGGGTATACTTCAGATTAGGGACTGCTGAATGGATTGTATTTTTGTCTGCCTGGCCTTTCCCTTGCCGCATTCCTCACCATTGTCTCAACCCTAACCATTCTTACAGAGCCCCCAGGTGTCATATGCCATATGCACATATTTGATTTTCTGTTTAGCAGTATTAAATAGCTGGGTATTCTCTAATATGTAAGAACAATTGACAGCATTTTCTAATTTAATTACAAATTACACTACAAATCTGCATTTACTGTGTGCAATTACTGCATTATAGATGCCTGAAGACACACAATATTCTGTCATATGCTAGTAGAAAATAACATAGTTATTTTGTACTTTGCAACTCTATGTCCTCAGATTAGTAGACTTCTGGAAAACCAAATATTCTGAGAAGAGTGTACAATGTTACACAGTTGTCATCTATTGCAAAAGTTCATTTACCAGACACATAGAGGGTATGCCATTTTAAAGCACCAATGACCATATGTCCAGAAAAATTCAGTGTCTGCAACTGCACCCTCAAAAGAACACTCTTGGTCAGAGAAAAGATATGCTATTTAGCTTCTATCAGGACTCAACAGCAGAAGATATAGGCCAGGAGGACAGGCGAGAATGTAATAATGCTTTCCCACATCATCTTCCTCACACATAAAAAAAATCAGTCAGGGACTTTCTGAACTAGTTTTTATGCCTCTCTGCTTCTGTAAGTTCATGTAATTAGTCCTGTAGCCCACAAAATCTTTTAGGATCCACAACATCCTCCAGCAAGGAGTCCCTTGGTTCAGCTACCTTCTCTTTCAAAAACCACCTTCCCTTGTTTGTTTTGAACCTGACCTAAAACTTCCTCCAGGACTTCCCCTTTTATGTCTACTTATTTCCTTTGCAAATGCCTTGTGGAAATCCCAACAGGCTGTATCAGCAAGGTCTTCCTTATTCCTTCCTGACTTCTTCAGAGTACTCTGTCTGATATGATTGTGAAGCATGACCTCTTTAGCAAAAGCTGTGTCAGCTCTTCCTGGATATGTCTTATTCCTCCACTAAGTATTCCATATTATTACTAACTTGCCTTATGCAAGACAAAAGATCTACCAGTTAATATTTTTCTGATCTACCCTAGAACTTTTTTTGAAGTACTCTGGACAGGCAATCCTGTGGTAGTCAAGCAGTTTTAAGTGAAGGATTACATAGTGCAGTTAGGAGCTTCGCTATTTCATCCTTGAGTTCTTTTAGAAGACTCGAATACACACAGCTCTTCTGCTTGTATGAGCAAAATAGTTTAAACCACAAGTTTCAGCTAAGAAAATGTTTGCATTGCTCAGCAGCTTTTCTTCCTCTCTGCATTTGCCCACAATAATCAGAATACATCACTATTCTCAGAAAACTTGGCAGTAATTTAACAAGGAAACATACAGTAAAAGCCTTAAAAACTATGTTTGGATCCTGAGACTTGGGAAGATGTAGCACAATCAGCAGTGAAGAACAGTCAAGTGTGTGTTTCAACACTAATGGCAGCCATGCTTAAAAACCTACTGCGTGACCAAACAGAACATAAATTGAAAGTTGAGGTGGGTACAATAGAATCCACTACATAGTTTAAAGATGCTGGCTTTAACATATGAACCTCTCTGTATGTGAATATTTAACAATGCATCCAATACTTTTCTTTCCTTTTTTACACTCCCATTTATTTTGGCAAAAGCAAGTTTTCCTATTTCTTTTTCCAGCACCAGATTGGAGGAATGGAAATCAACTGGTGTACGGTTCCTACATAGCAGAAGATAAAGTGTAATGTCTCTAACTGGAACTGGAAAATCACCTCTGCAGCCTTGAGCTATATTAAGCAAAAATGTTTTCCTGTTGTAATGGTACTTTGCTGTAGCTGAGAAGGTGAAAGGACATACGCAGGACCAGGCTTGTAGGCAGAAGTACCATCTTTTAGATGACCAGCTGGAGGAGTTCGAAAAATAAGACAAATTTTGTCCTTAGTGCACCACTATTAAAAGCAAATAGTAATTTAGCCTCATTTTATTTTAAACTGGTTAAGTTAAACAGTCATAGCTAAATACATCTGTTACTACTGGCAGAAAGGACAGCCCTAGTCAGAGAGGAAAGGTCTCCGTTTAACTGTGAAATCTATTTTGCAACATGGAAGTTGTAATGGTTAAACAATCTCTGGACCTGATTGAAGCAGACATTGAGCTCTTACATCTAACAAAACTGGGGGGAGATGAGACTGCCATAT